CCCACGGGTGAGAAACTTCCTGGTGTGCCAGAGCATTTGTGTGTGATCAGAAGAAGCAGGAGGGAGAGGATGCTGACACACAGCTAGTTAACAGGAGAATGGAGGCCTGATTGATCCCACAGTGACAATCTGCATTTGGACTGTCGTGTACTAGACTGAACAGCTGTCCCTTCATGTTCTGGCGTGTGGTGGAATTCCTTACACATCTGATAGGACAGAAGAGGATGTGACTGACAAACCAGGAGGACAGAACCCCAAGCCAGCACAGTTGTGTCTTGTGTCCATCAAAGCTTGGATTCCTGTATGTGCTCTTATGGTATTGTGGGGAGGGGGCACTGGGAGCGGGGCTTTTCTGTAGGTCCTCTTATCACTGGCTATGCCAGGGAGCAGCTAAAGGATCCAGAGGTCTTGACTTCCCCTCCCTGCTTGCTTATCCTGATCATGGGCAGAGGCTCTGGCTTTGACCATCTGGAGTCCCACCAACCACTTCTGATTCTTCCAGGGGAATTTGAATCTGGCATAGCTATATGTTTCTCTGTGCTCAACTTTTACTATCTTCTCAGAGCTCCATGTAACTTTCACAGGTTAGACTAAAGTACCTGTGAAGTGGGATGCCCTTCTGCATGCTGTGAATATGTTTTATTACCACTGGTTAATAAAGAAGCCCCTTTGGCCTATGGCACGGCAGATATAGCTAGGTGGGAAATTCAAATGGGCATAGGGAGAAAGAAGGCAGAGTCAAGGGAAACACCAGCAGCTACCAGAGAAGCAAGATGTGACATAACAAGCCATGAGCCTTGTGGTAAAATATAGAATAATAGAAATGGGTTAATTTAAACGTAAGAGCTAGCTAGTAGTAAGCCTGTGCTATCGGCCAAACTTTTATAATTAATATAAACCTGAGTTTATTTGGGAACTGGAGGGCAGGAGAGAAACCTCCAGTTACATACCTGTCCTCTAGCTTCAGTAATGCTTGACAGTAGGAATCAACAAATTGCATGGAAAAGTAGTAACATCATACCATCATTGGTCCAACCTCCCCCCCCACACACGTGTGTGTGTGTGTGTGTGTGTGGTATGTGTATGGGGGGGCTTTATGTTGAAAGTGCACCACTCCACTACCACATATCATACAGTCAAGTTTCCCAAATTTGGGGGAAATTAGAAGGCTCAGAAGATCCCAGGTACAGTGAATGAGCATTACCCTGGGAACATCACCTTCTTGGCCACAGTTTCCCCCAACAAGTTAACATTTATGGCTTTGTTGTTGTTGCTTTTGGCCTTCAACAAATTTTCATGAGGTGAAGTAGAATTTTGAAATTTATAAAAGGGAATAATAAATATGAAGTGTTAAATTGGGGTGGTAGAAGAGAGGGCAGGATAGAAGAGGGAGTGTGGAGAGGGATATATAACACTAGGGACCTTTCAAAGAACTCATATAGAAACCTACTCTAGAAGCTTTATCAAAATACATATACATACATATATGTGTGCGAATGTGTGTGTATTCATACATGCATACACATATGTTAATAAAATGAGTTAAAATAGAATTACTCTAAAATTGGTTAACAATGTCTGTACTAGATACACTATCTTACAAATGAAAAGCCCAGTGCCAGGAGTTGGCTACTTATTTTGGAGTTGTTGGCCAGTGAGATTCCACAGACCTCAAATATTATAGGCTATCTCCAATACTCTTGGTCAACTCCAGAACTTGACAGTAAGACCTATTGCTAAAGACACAACCACATCAATGAATATAAATATGGAGAATTCAAGCTGGTACTAACATGGAAGCTGTATCCCTACTGGATAGATTTTATCATTCTGAAAGGTTCTATGCACACTATCAGAACAGGAAAGTAACCATTAATGCTATCTAGCTATGAATCTTGTGAGCTACCGTGATGATTAGCTTGGTAAGACATGTCTTATGACTTAACAGTGGCAGGAACATTATAGAAGTAACCAACTACTTTCTGATTGGATTTAATCTCTGTTCCATAAATTGAAACCGTACTTGGCCTGATAATGGGCCTAGGGACTATGGTTACACAGGTCACGGGCAGTAGCTGAAAATCTATTATTATTATTCTGCTAAATGGATGTATTATTAATTTGACTCCTAATGACTTATCATTACACATAGATCAATGAATCCTCAACCTTCATCAGAGAAGTTTCTATTTCACTTTTTATTACACATAGATAGATGGTGATTAACATAGACCCACAAATGGCCAAGGTGCAGAGACTTTGGAAGGTTCAGCCCTGAATGGAACATCTATACCGCACTTCCTCTTTTCATGGCTCAGAGATCATTGTAGCAGAGGCTATGGAAAGATTGTAAGAACCAGAGAGAGGGTGACTACAACCAAACAGTGTCTTCTGGGCACAGGAGGACAGCTGTGCATATGAACTCCCAGTGACTGTGACAGCACGCAAAAGACCTGTGCACACCCAGACAAAATCCCAGCAGGGAGAGGGGAGCAACTGAGAGCTGCTGGGGGAGGAAAATTAGTTGCTTTTCTAAACACGGAGCCCCTCATAGGCTGCCCACATTTCAGTATTAGGTCACACTTCTAGGAATATTTGGGCAGCACAAATTGGACTTGATGGATTTTAATGGGGGACATAAAGTAAGGTGGGTATAGAAGGGGGGGCAGATTGGAGAAGAATTGAGAGATCGAGATGAATAAGGTCAAAATACATTGTTGAAATTCTCAGCTATACACACACACACACACACACACACACACGCACGCACGCACACACACACATGAAATTTACTACAGATAAACTCCAAAGTACGCTAGTGTGAACACACACTGGACAGCTGATCAAGTATGTTCAAAACGACCTACTGTTTTTTTACACATATCCACAAAAAATCCTACCCATTCCTGTCACACCCACATAGTGGCCTCTCATAGGTGACATGAAAGAAACCTCAATCTCTTGAAGAAAAAGTCACAAAGTAGTTTTGGTAGATATGAACTGAGCACATAATTTTGTTCAGTAAAACTCCTTTGATGAGGCCTGCTCAAATATCTTGAAGATACTGTAAAAACACCACAGATGATCTCTCAGTTATTGTGGTCATACAGGCTGAAGAGCCACCAGGGAAGACACAAACATAGAGAGGCACCCACATTCCAGAGCATCTTGAGAAAGCCTGATTTTTATCCCACATCTAAATGTTTGTTTCTAACCAAGTGGACTAGAGAAGCCAGGCCGGCATGAAAAGCAACAGGTGACAGTTTGGGAGGAGGGGCCTTCAATTTGCTGCTTTCACCTACTTGTCTGAGACCAGAAGAAATCTAGAGAGGGGCGCGGACCTGTAACCGGCAGGATAATTAGAAGTGGGTCTGATGGTGTGGGCTCCTGAGCTTAGTGCTCAGTTCTCTAACCCACACACCTCTGCGATTCCCACATAAGTTCCCGGAGAGACTCGTGGAGCGGGATGGAGGGGAGCCCGGGAGCTTCTCCCCCTGAAGAAGGGTCGAGTGACCAGGTGAGAAGAGGTGTCAAAGAGCAGATGGGAGAAGATGGCAGACAGGATGGAAGAAGACGGCAGAGACTCTCTGTGTGAACAGTGAATGACGCTGGTTAAAAGGTGAGTGTCCCCGGGCGGTGGTGGCTCACGCCTTTAGTCCCAGAACTCGGGAGGCAGAGGCAAGTGGATCTCTGTGAGTTCGAGGCCAGCCTGGTCTACAAGCGCTAGTTCCAGGACAGGCTGCAAAGCTATAGAGAAACCCTGTCTCAAGAAACAAACAAACAAACAAAAAACCCCAAAACAAGGGAGTGTCTACGACCCAAGGCTGCCTCAAGATCACAGGAAGCCAACCTGTACTTGAACGAACAGGCTAAGGGATGGAGCTCAGGGCAGGGAATAAAACCAGTGTGGAAGACCTGAGACCAGCAAGAGAGCTTAAGTGTCTGGATCTGTTGTGCCAAGTCATCCTGGACTCAGATGAACCAGGTCTCCCATACCAACCCAACACTTGGAATCAGCAGCCCTTCTTTATTATAAAATAAACATCACTGAAAGTTTTATTTTTAAACAAAAAATAGACAGACCGAAAATATCACACCTTAGGCAAATGAGTTGAAAATCCCTTAGAGTGACATCCTATTTTTTTTTCCCACCCATTTCTCAAGTCTGAAGACACCTGGTAAAGGGTCTGTATTTAGGTAAAGAAATGCAACTCCTGGTACATACGGTTTCCTGGTGGCACAGAATGGAAATGACATCATGGAAACACTGGTGTTCAAGGTCAGTCTGTACATTGCTAGGTGAAAACAGGAGGCTTAGTCATCAGTGGAAATGCGTGTACGCCTCTACCCTGATGAGCTGCTCTCCCCTCCAGTTTTACTAAAATCCGCAGGCTGCTTGCCTGAACTCTTCGGGATCTCCTAGATGCGCAGCCTAAATATAGGTTATACCTCACCTCTGTCCGTGCCGTCTGGGAGGAAATAAAGTGATTGTTGCTGAGAAGAAGGGGAGTTTGTTTTGACTTAAGGACAAAGAGCCCATGACATGAGTTGACTGTCTCGGTGGTTGACACGAGAGGTCTAATTTGTGTGGCATTCCCTCTGATGGCGAAAGGGAAGACGAGGCCAACTGGGAAGGTGTGGGATCCTTTGTCTTAATTAAAAATATAGTCGGAGACATGGAATTTGGCCAAGTCTCATAAATCTGCTACAAGAATCGAGACTGTCAGATAAGTTTAAATAAAACCAACCAAACCCGCAGAGAATCACGTCAGCTCCTGCAAGTCGTCGACACCCACTTTCCTGTCACTTCTGTGTTCTACAGACGGTGGTTGTGCTCATTACCCAGCCACCCTCCCGCCAGCCACTGACAAGCATATCCCTCTGGAGCACAAAATTCAGAGATGATAAATCTACTCCCGCTTGTGAAACACGGAACTCTCCTTTGGGCAATCAGAATGCGAGGAGGCTTTAAGGCAATAAGGACTTATCTGATAACCTACCTTCATTAGCAAGGCCTGGTCCTCCCTGTCCGGACAGCGCCTCACGGCCAGCGCAAACTGCTCTAGTGCAACTGGAAGGGAAGAGAGAGAAAGGTGAGTGACCTCCCTGGGGACTGCCAGCACATCTGTGCCATAGCCTCGTGGCTATGGCAGAAACAAATGGCATGATAGCCATGCCAGCTTAGGGACACAGAGTTCCCTGCCTGTCCACTGCATGGGCTGGCATCTGTGTGCAGAGACTTTCCCATGGTCACAAGGCCACTAGAGTCAGCCAGCCTCCAGGGAAACCACCAGAAAGTCTTGGGTTCAGCCACGGCATGAGCCACCCTGAGAGACTACACTCTGTTCCTATTCCGGTGACTTCATGAAGGGAATCCAAACTCTGCCTTGGTATCTTTGATGTCAGCTTTCAGCCATGCTCTTCCACAGTGATTTCCATGCATTAGTTCACTGTGTGGCGGAAACATGACATGGCCCCAAACGTTGACCCAAGTAAGTCCCAGACTCCCCGAGTGTATTTAACCATCTTTCCTCAACCAATTTGTTTGACAGAATGGTTAAGGGAATCACAAGATGGTTTACAAAAATGCTCTAATGGGTACTTAAATTATTCTGAATGTTTCTGTGCACGTTACAGTTTCCATAAAGGAACCCCCTCTTCTCTACACCCATGGCCAGTCTCTCATCAAAGTCTGCCATGTGAGTACCATTTTTTAATCTAACTAAACACAGGGACACAGACTTTCTTCCTTGCACATGGTTTTGACTACATTATTTCACTTTTAAAGATGTCTTCGCATCCCTGGACTCTAATCCTCTTCTGGTGACAGGGACTAACCCATCTAGATTGTCCTCTTACTGCTGGACTGAGGGCTGGGGTCACACTTCTCTTCTGCTGTCAATCATCCAGACGAGTATGGCATCTGAACCCCGCAGGCTCGCCTATCCAACCGGGCAAAGTAACAGATTACCCTAGGTTCCATCCTGACCTGCCCAAACCCTGTGTGAGTGGGCAGAGGTTTCTGATTTAAACCTGAAATATTGACCAGAGACCTCTGTTTAAATGCTTGGCCCCAGGGTGCTATTTTGGAAGATTCTAGAAATGTTTGGAGTTGCGTCTAGCTGGAGGAAGGAGACCAATAAGGGTGATTCCTGGTCCTGCCTCCCAACCCTACTCTCTGATTCCTGGTCTGTTGTGGTGAGAAAAGCTCCTGCCCTACACTCCTGCCCCCATGGAAAGACCTGCCCTGCCAGCCCTTCCCTGCCATGATAGACTGCAACCCTTTGACACAGTAGGCAGATGCTTCATTCAGGTGGAATAGCTTCCTGATCTAAAGATCAGTTCTTTGTGTAGCTGTTGGAGTGAGAACATAGAGGGAGGCTTGAAACTCCAGAACATCTGGCCACCTTAATAATTCCACGGGCTTCTTATCATAACTTGCACGCTTTTGTGAGAGTAGAGAGAAGGGCAAAATGAGGTCACCTGCTCACAGATACCGTTGGCCATGTGCTCTGGGAACTTCAGGAACCTCTGAAACCTAGGGCAGAAGCTATCAATCACCTCCTTTAAGCAGATCTTTGTGGCAGTTACCAGAAAAATCCAACTGTTTGCCTGTGGCCTGGAATGGGTGAGCATTCAATAAAATGTGCCTAAATGTGCCTCCACCTGCTTAGGGCTGAAGACCAATAAACTAAAGGCAAGGCAAGACATTGGGGGCACTCACTGCAGCAGGGGACTTCCTTACACACGGAGCAGCAGGCAGTGTGAACATTCACGCCATACCATTTTGATTGACTTATTTATGAGTCATGCCCTCTGATCCTCCAAGTTCACAGTAGGAACTGCTGAGAAGCCATCCCTACAAGTTTTCTGTGTGGTCCCCTTGGATACAGAAGAATACTCATATATACATGTAAAATCTATGGGGATTTTATTGATTAGCCAGACTGCCAATTAAGAGAGAACTTTGGAGTGATTTTGAGAGACAAAATTCTCTTTCTCTTTCTCTCTGTGTGCATGTATAATGAATATAATATATATGTTATCTATCTATGCATCTCAAAAGATACCTTCATCAGTTATTTGGATTAATCTAAAAATCATATCCCCATCAAGTATCCAATATCCATTCTGCTGCATCTGTTCAGAGGTTTTAAGTGTCAACAGATGAAGGTAAAATCTGATTTAAAAAAAAAAACCCTCACTTTACAGTACAGAGAGAGCTCATTAGTCAAAAGCCCTTGCTGTTATGGTGGATGACCCAAGTTAGGTTCCTAGCATCCCTGTCTGGTGACTCACAACCACCTGTTGCTCCAGCTCCAGGGATCTGACACCTCTGGACTCCTCCAGCACCTGCCCACGTGTGGTACATACTCACACAGAACACACAGATATACCCGACTTGAAAAACAAAACTAAAAACATTCTTAAAACTTTGCTTTAAAATTACCTTGTGGTCTCTCCCTATTTAACACTCTATGCCACTTTAGGCCAGTATTAAAGCATGTTAAATTATCATATCTGTCAATGGATGTTTCTCTTTTTTTCCCTTCACTTCTCAGGTTTCTGAGCAAAAGCCACCAGAGCATTATGTTTTCTCTGCAAATAAAAGCCTGTAAGTCCTCAACAGGGAGAGAGGAAAATTCATGGAGAGAGGACACAGTGCCATTTCTCCTCTTGGCATTGGGGATCTACAATAAGTTAAAAATGAAGTTTTTATCTCTGGTGATTTATCAAGCTCAAGATCTCACAAAAGATAACAGATGCTCCAAAGAAAGAATACATCATCTTAATGCTTCATTTTGACACTCTGGGTATCTAAAAAGCACATATCTCCAACAGCTCCCCTCTAAAAACACAATAGTTTCCATGATTTACACATTTACTATGTGTTTTATGACACACTGAACTGAGAACATGTCAGGAGGGGCCACCGAAGACAATGGTCAGACTCGAAACACGCAGATTATTTATAGACAAAAGCTCAAGGACTGAAAGAAAATCTGGTTGTCAACAGACAGTTGCTTTTGCAATTTTTTTTTCTGTCTAGTTCATTTTGGTTTTTGTGTGGGTGGCTCATGTGAACTCAAAGGTTATTTGCTAAGTGTTTTGGAGACTAGAATATGCTGCCCTTTAAAACTCATGCTTAAACGTGCGCTCCTGGCAAATATGTCTAACTTTATAGTACGCGACGGGGTAATAGTGTTTTAATATAACATCATATCCAGAATTGCCATGGTGAGACAGTTTCTGCATGTCTATTTTTATTGGTGGTGTGGAAGCCTTAATCTTTTTTTTAAAGATTTTGAATGCATTGCACATGTATTTGTTCATGCATGCAGGTGTGCCTGTGTGTGTGTGTGTGTGTGTGTGTGTGTGTGTGCATGCATACATGACTGCATGCACATTGCAGCCAGAGGTTATGTTAGGTGTCTTTTTCTATTACTTATACCCTATTCGTTTTTGTTCCTGAACTTGGAGCTCACTGATGGAGCTAGACTGGCTGACCAAGGGACCCTAGGAATTCTGCCTGTCCCCTAAAGGTCTTATTCTTAAACCTGATGCTAATGGAAAATCTATTTTGTTTTACTCTTTCACATTTCCCTCCATCAGCATGGATACTAATGGATACTTATTATTTTGAGATGATTTGGTGTTTCCTCCCCCCCCCCCCATATATTTACTTATATTCAGTTCAGAATGCTGACACAGATCTTTGCAGTTTACTGTACAAGGTAAATTTTTAAATCACATGGTGGAAAACAGGGGGGCAGGAACATACTTCACAGCCAGGGAGGGCAGGTTTCTGTTGCCTTTTCAGTGGTTCTGAGCAGCCCGACACCATATGACCCAGATGTAGCGCCCTCAGCATGTGCACAAAGGTTCCACAGATCCTTGCTCAGCCTGATGCATTGCTGCTCTATTCACAATAGCTAGGAAACGGAAACAACTTAGATGCCCTTGAACAGATGAATATGGAAATTCCATGCACACTATGGAATATGACTCAGCAGTAAAGGAAAACAAAATTATGAACTTTGCAGCTACACGGATGGAACTAGAAAAGAGCACAGTGAGCAAGGTAGCCCAGACCGAGAAAGACAAACACCACGTGTTCTTTCTTATCTGGAGCTCCAAGCCTTCAGATGTGCATGCATAGCCTGGAGTAACTGCAAAACACAGAAAAATCATAAGGGACTACTGGCATGGAGGGGCCTGGGGGAGCAAGGGAGAGGAGACTAGCAGAGAATGAGTGGTGTGAGCAGGGAAATGAGAAAAGGGGGGCTTCTAGTCAGGGAGGGACAGGAAGGTAAAAGAGCAGTAAAGATGGGGAAAACGTCCAAAGGAACCATAGTGTTAACTATCTACCTAAAATACCGAGTATTGTCTAAGTAAACATATGTAGTTTAAATGAAAATTTCCCACCTAGGCTGACAATGCTTCCTCCAAGAGCCAAAGACCATCTAACAGAATCCCCGCCCCCACCAGGCATGAGAACCCTGCTGTTGGGCTCTTGGTCAGGGTTGTCCAACGTTACAGACTAGTTTCTGCCCAGATGTGGAAGGCAAATACACCTTGCTGTGGACACCATGCACTTCAGATACAGGGCCCAGATGTCCCTGAGCTGGAACTGACCTGCAATCCTCTTCCCTGAAGACTAGCTTTCATGGTACCAGAAGGCGCCACAAAAACTTCCAAAGGAAGGCAGGAAGCAAGCAGCGCTCTACCTAGTTTTAACACGGATGAACCATACCAATGGCTAACATAACATGGTACTCCAAGAGTGCCATAATGGCACGCGTACCTTGGCAGTTACCAGCAGCCCCCTAAAAGAACCTAAGACCCACTCAACAAGAGGGAGATCATGTCTGATACTGGGAACCAGACAGCTACGCACATCCAATCATCACCTTCCTAAACCAGTGCAACCCTTCACTACATGGTAAATATCTTTCCTCATTTCCACAGACAGCCATAGTCTCCACCCTCATCAAGGAAACTTCTCTTTGCAGCAGAGATCACTACAGAAAACCACAAGCAATCAAAATGTAAGCTCCTTTTATAGTGTGT